AGACCTAAAGCCGTCGGCCGTCTGGTTGCTTATTTACAAGCATTTATGCTTTCTTAGCAGTCAGGGAAAATACCACCACCATTCAAAATAACCACCACCATTCGTAAAAAATTAACCAACCCCCGCCCCCGCCACCCCACCCCTCCTATGGCACATATTCATTGGTCAACACATCCTGGTAACGTAAAAAAATAAACAGAAAACTCCGATAAGAGTCATGTTTGCGAGTTCTCAAATGTTCGATCTCTTTATTTCACGAACATCGTCAGGAACTGAAACATGACAAAATGAGTTGCCTTTGATGTATAATAATTATTGCGCTTTGACATCAAACCAAAAAAGAAAGAATAGAAGAGAGAGAGAGAGAGAGAGAGAGAGAGAGAGAGAGAGAGAGAGAGAGAGAGAGAGAGAGAGAAATGTCCGAGGATACTTATACAAAAGTTCAAAGCTTCTTCTTCTCTGTATTCCCCTTCCTCCTTCAATCGTGATGATTATTGCATGTTAATTATTGTTGTGTTTGCAACATGGTGATGTGCTTATTTACAAGTGTGCCCTTTTGTGCAAATAAAACAAATGCGCGCGTAAATTCCGTATACTAGACCAACAATGAATCAACATAAAATGCACCATTACATAAAGAGCTTTTACCCAATTTAAATAAAATAGATGCACTAGAGACTGGCAGGATAACATTGAAAACGATGAATTTGTCTCATGTGTGTTGGATTTCAGGATATTTAGCATTTATATGTTTGTTTGTTTATTCTTGTGGTAACATAAATTGTTAAAGTGTTGCTAGTTCAACAAAGCATACAATAATACATCAACTCGTATTTACTAAATCATCAGTAAAAAAAGATGACCATAATCATAAGACAACTACTCTCGAACATTACATTTACACGTGGATACATTTTAAGACGCCTGCCTGTCTTTATGCACTTCTCTTCCTCTACATGCCTTAATTATTACTATTGGACGGGAAGACGGGAAGTAACTCTTCCTAGTATAAGTATTAAAAAAAAAAGAGAAAAAGGAAAAGAGAAAAAAAAATTTAGAGAAAAAGAAAGAAAGATAGAGACGGTAGACAAAAAAAAATACAGATGGAAAGATATAGAGATAGTAAAAAAAAATACAGAAACATAGAGAAAGACAAAGACAAAACGAAATTTGGGAAGGGAAGGAAGTAAAGAGGTAGAGGAGAGCTAAGAAAAAGAAGAAGAAGAAGAAGAAGAAGAAGAAGAAGAAGAAGAAGAAGAAGAAGAAGAAGAAGAAGAAGAAGAAGAAAAAGAAGAAGAAGAAGAAGAAGAAGAAGAAGAAGAAGAAGAAAAAAAAGAAGAAGAAGAAGAAGAAGAAGAAGAAGAAGAAGAAGAAGAAGAAGAAGAAGAGGGAAGATGAACAAAAAGAAGAAGAAGAAGAAGAGGGAAGGTGAAGAAAAAGAAGAAGAAGAAGAAGAGGGAGAGAGAGAGAGAGAGAGAGAGAGAGAGAGAGATGGTCATTACACCGGCTATAATTCGGAAGTCAACACAGCGGTGCTTCTGATGTCATATTTACTTGTTGTTATGGCTCAGACCACCAAGCTTAATTACTAAGAACATCAAGAAAACCACACCCGCTTGTGTCTTTGAAGTTCTGCTAGACAAAAAGGTAAGATATGAATATTTATCGAAGGACAGAAGGAAGTCATGGAACACAGGCATTAGTAGTTAATGACGAATCAGTTAAAAGGAAAAACAAAAGAAAAGGGGGGGGGGGACAAAGTTGTATATCAATAAATAAATAAAAAGTGGATAAGATTTTAATGAAGAAAGAAAAAAAGAAAGGGAAAACACCAACGAAAGGAGACGTAATTTTCTCTGTTTCGCGTACTCAAGGCCTATCGTAATTTGACTATGCACACAGCCGAAATTTCACGTAGTAAATGAGAGGTTAACCTCAAATTTTCGTCTTATATTGTTCCTACTTTTTACCGGCCTTTGTGAAAATGATAAATTCTCCAAATAAAGATTATGATGAACGACTTGGTCGTAACCTTTCAATTTGATTTGAAATTAACAATGCACTATTTTGAACGCAACGTCACAGATCACTCACCCATGGTTTATGATTGTGTCTAACCAATAATTTTCTCGCAGTTTTAATCAAAGCGGGCTTCAACTTTTCTCGCATCCATTTGTTCGTCAAATAAAGCTCCAGCTATTGATGTTTGCCGACATTAACCATGATTATGTCTGACATAATTGAGATCATTATTTGGCGTACCAGGTCGATGAAGGAAGACATATTTTTATTGGATTTTGTCGACCAATTGTGAGGTTTATGTCGTTCTCATTAATCACTGAGAAATTGGGTGAATTTTAAGGTGACATTGCGCTCTAACGTTTTGATAATAGAAATAGTCAACACAAAAGGAAAGTAATATATTAAAGATTAAGAAAGTATATGTTTCAGCGTCACGAGGCAATCATGGTTATCCCTCAGCTTTTACAGAAATTCATAAAATGAGGAAGGAATTATTCTCTCTAGACGAGGGAGGGGTGGTAACCCATTGCAAGTTGTATGGGCCCTTTTTTCAAGCCTTGCTGGTGGTGGTGGAAGGGGGGGGGGGATGCCTCGGCTTCACCTTATATGCTACATACACCTCTGATCATTATAGGTTTAGCATGCCACTCACTTTTCGTCTTTACTGCCCACTATTGCAGGGAGAATTTACCACGAATCATGTCTAAAAGTATTGCTTAATAAGTCCTGTTTTATCATTTCGGTAGCTAGCCAATGTAGGGATAAAAACTTTTGAAGAATGTACTTGATTAAAACTTTCACAACTTAAAAATCAGAAAATAATGAAGTCAGGACCAATTACTCACATAAATCAATATGTATAGTAACTGCTAGTCATCTTCTGCATTCTTTGAAGTCTATCAAACCAAAGGATATGGGCAGAGGGAGAGGCTGAGAGGATGGGGCGAAGGAAGAGGGGGGGGGGGGGTGGCTTCCTTATAGTTTTGAGACTTTGTCAGGCAACTTAACATCATGTTGACGAATGATACCCTGCAGTTGCTGTTCAGTTCGTTAGTACATTCAGGCTACCCGGCAAACATAAACAAATGGTGATACTGCAAATACATACGTGTATACGTCTCTATTTGGGGGAGGGGGGGGGGCGGTGAAGTGTTAAATCAAACAACCAAAGGTGATCTGCACTCTAGAAATCTAAAATTAATTTCTTACTTCGTGCTTGAGAAGAAAGATAAAACGACTGGATACATATATGTAACATACATCGTATAAAGTAATAGACGCATGCTAGACGATAAAAAAGGCTGCAGCGACCGCGTAAAATCTAAAAAGTCGTCTTGTTTATACCCGAAACAAATTCGTCGTAAAAATCGACGGGATACGAATTGTGGCAGCGAACCAACACTCGTAAAACCATGTTATTGGTTCGCACCAACATCAACTTGCACCTGCATTGTTCCTTTGCAACCCATACAATCATATGCACAGTCTCTAATCAGAAACAACTACAAAGGAGGCCGCCGATCATAAAGCTGAAGGAGGTTTGCTCTTTAATTCATATTCTTTTCCTCTACAAGGACAATCCCTTGAGATCTGTTTTCTTTCTTTCTTTCCTTCTTCTCTGGATGCTTATTCCCCATCCATTTTTCTCAGCAATTCATCAAGTTTCATAGGGTCCATAATGATCCCTCCTGCTTACACTTGCTTGTAAAAGTTTTGTTACTTCCGCAGTTGTACGAAATTGATTTTGTTGTTGTTGTTGTTGCATTTGTGACCTGTAGTGTAGTTTTGCTGAAGTAGGAGGGAGTATTTTCAGTCGGACTCTTACTTCCTATCGCTGCTTTAATAAATTCAGGATGGTATGGGGGTTTATATTATAAATGGACTGAGGGAGGCGGAATAGTCGCCCCATAGGAACAACCGTGTTTATTCCCCTTTCCTTCTAATGTATAAGCGAAAGTCATGAGTCCGGGGAAAATTATGAAAGTGCCCCCCCTCCCTCTCTGCACCTTATCTCTCTGGTGATTAGAGATACGCCCCCCTCCTGTAGGTTAAGTGAAAGGGAAAGTTTTTATGAAAAATCGATTCGGAGGTCCTCGCCCTTCCCAGTAATTAATTGCGATATTAAGAAAAAAATGAAGTACAACCCATATACAGATCGTCAGACTTTACGCATGTACCTCTCAAGATCATTGGCATAGCGTGAATCTTCGCATTGAAGGGGCACTGTTCCTACTCGGAAAGTTATTCAAAGCTACCTATTAGGTGGGGGGGGGGGGTGCGGAAGTCGGTCCAGACGTCTTGTTTCCCTGTCTGTTCTCACTATCCCTCTTTTTCTTCTCTTTTCTCTTTTTTGCTTTTACTTTATTTTATTTCATTCGACACTAAATGCCCCCCGTAGCTACGCCAATGATTAAGATGATCTACAATCGATGTGATTAATCTTTGTTGTCTTAACCAAGAGTTATTTAAATCTTGAATTTATACCAGTCTTGACATACAATATTCCATTTCACTTCACATATTACTTACAACGCAGAGACAAGACTTGTTTGACTTGTAACAAAGGATACGGCGACCTCTAGGTTCAAATTCAGGGTCACTAATGGTCATTTAGAAATCTAACACTTCAGACCAGTCATGAGTGACCGGGTCGATAAAAAAAGCCTCCTAACTTTCACAGAAAGTTTCTTCAGAAACAGGAGGAAGAAAACTAGCCTCTGTTTGGTGGAAAGCAAGAGACGGGATCGTGAGTGTGGATATGGTAGCCGACATGATATATTTTCGGGTTGGGTTTCGTGTTTACCTTGTTGAAGCTAGCAACAAAAACACAGTTATACAAACAGAGTATTTGAAGGCGGTATAAAGTTGTCTGCCTTCTTGGTGCTTTGCTTACAAGACAAATAAAACATCAATTCAAGACCGGGGACAGCTTGTTATCAAATTATTGAGCATGTCGTTTTTTGCAGGTATAGAGATTGGATTTACGTCATCTAATCGTAAAGTTATCTAGGCGCTGTGAGTGGCTAGTTGGTGTTTTATGATATTGTTTTGACACACGCGGGATGGTGGATAGTGCCTCTATTTTCGGCACCGGGACTGGGGACTTCTACCGCTTATTTCATTGAGTTGATTCCTGCACAGAAGGAGGTGTGTCACATTCATTATGCTGGATTTTTGGTTATAAAGACGGACTCGGTTTACATTTTAGATCATTTACTTCACTTCATCGTCTGAACCTATTTCATTTGCAATAGCAAACGAGACCAAGAAAATAATCTGGATGTGGCATTTGCAGCCGCTGACGGTGATTTCGTTTATTGTTGATTTTGAGACAAATTAATTCATTTACTATTTGGAAACTTTTTGACGCCGAATTGAAACGAAAATGCAAGAAGACAGTGTTTATCAGACAGGCAGCATCCAGGCGGCATCATCCACTTCAGTCCGCCATCTCAGCCCCGTCGCTCGCCTAGAGTATCCGTCTCAAGTCTACCAGTCGGCGCTTTGGTGGAATGCAGCCGCCGCATCGACTTTAAATAGTGAGGTTCCTGCATCCCATCTCTCTCCCAACGATATAGCTCATAGCAACATGGCAGCTCTGAGGTACTTCTCTCATACTCTTCCTCCATGCGGGTTAACGCATCCATTCTCGCACCTCACCCCGTCACATCCATACTTCCCCGCCACCGTCGATAACCTGAGCTGGCTGAGTCTCGCCGCTCATCATGACTTCTACAAGCTAGTCCGACCTCCGTACTCCTACTCAGCCCTCATCGCTATGGCTATCCAGAGCTCCCCCGACCACAAGATCACTCTCAGTGGCATCTACCGCTACGTGGCCGAGAACTTCCCATTTTACAAGCGCAGCAAAGCAGGATGGCAGAATTCCATTCGCCACAATCTCTCTCTCAATGACTGTTTCATTAAGGTACCTCGAGCCGATAATGATCCGGGAAAGGGTCACTACTGGACACTCGACCCCAATTGCGAGAAGATGTTCGACAATGGAAATTTTCGCCGAAAGAGGAAACGACGCGGGGATTCGCTTGATAGTCCATCGTCAACCATGCCTTCGTCACCCATCTCGTCAACCTCTTCGTTGATCATGGAAGACCATCCGATGTCGACCACAGTGAGACCCGTCAAGCGATTCATCGTCGACCGGCACGAAGCAGTTGAACCAAAGGATGATAGCAGATTCAACCTTTACACCTCTCGTCAATCCCATGGACATGATCTGCAGGAATATTTCTCCAATGGTCCAAACTCATCTCTGGTCTCCAAGGGAGTCCATCTCCGGCATCCTTCCAAAGCGGGTAGTCTTCCAAGATTATCAACAGCACATGATCAGAACAAAAGTAAATCTATTCTCAAATCAAGTTTCAGTGTCAGGAGTCTGCTCGGTCATGACATAGATGATGAGAAAATACCAGGTAAAGATGCCTCATTGTGAAACCAATTTTATATTTCACTTTATAGTTTACTTTATAGCCTCGTATTGACAGGGTGCATGCAGGTAAATATGAATCATTCTGAGACATATTTAAGAGTTATTATTGTATTAAAAACAGTTGTTTCACATTTCTTACAGAAATTTGTACATACACATCATAGAAAGTATAAGGAAAAGAAAGACTTTGACATTGAGAAACTAAACGTTATTAATACAATAATTTATATTGTTAATGCTGAATGAACTGCGAGCTCATATCAAACTTTTATGAGTTTGACTCCTTGTCTACTCAGACGTGGTTGTAAATAAGACAAAATCGTGTCTATATAAATAGAAATATCGCCACATTCTTTACAATGCGATAAAATTCACATGTATGTGTACATAAAAATCTATTTGCATTGCATGATAAGATGTGTAAGATCATTTAGGAATCAAATCAGATAATAAACCCGGATTTTATGGTTATTATAGCAATTGAACGAGAGCATAAAAACAACATATACAGGTATAAGTGATAAATTCCTGTTAAATATTATTTCATTCCTTGTGTATGTTTTTTTAATTTTTTTTTTATGATAACATTTTAGAGAGGAGATAATGTATCAT